GATAGCCAGCAGTCTACTAGTGAGGGATCATCTTTAGGATCGACCCATTATTTTGAGTATCACATGTAGTCAAATATTATTAGAGGAAGGCATAAGGGGAAGATTTATGGCTTATGTTTGCAGGGATATACTTATGAGGGCAATACATCTACTTCAACATTTTATGATGTTTGTGGAATGAAGAAACCGTTAGCAAGAGGGTAGCTGCCCTGATAAGAGAGATAAAGGATATGAGAAAGATTCATGTTGAGATGCATGCGGAGCTGCAATTATATCGAGATAAAAGCCAGAATAAAAAGGAGCAAGAGGCTATACGTGAATCACAAGGTAGCGATGATATGGACGATAATTAGTTATTGTTATTTATTTGAAGAACTAGATGGTGTATTTTGATCATATGGATATGAAAGAACATATTTATATTTTAAAGATTATTTAACAGTTGAACTTTATATATATTATATTTTGAACTGTTAGAGTATTCATTGATTGTGGATGTTAGTGTGTTTCACATATTATGTTTTGAACTAGCTATGTATATGGTTAAAAGTATTTGTTTTCTGTTTTGAACTGCCTACAAGTACTTATAAACATTTATTTGGATAGAGGGGGGCTGTCTTTTTTTTTTTTTTTTGTAATTGCTACAGGTTTCTATTAGTTTAGCCACCAAAAACTTCAATACCGGACTAATGCAATTTCATCGCTGGTAAAAATCGGCGGTTTGGCCACCAAAAATATTGACAGTTTGACCGTCAGTAATACCACCAGTAAAAATCGGCGGTCACTGATGGCATTTGTGCCAGAATCTTTCAGCGGTTTACCTGTGATTTTGGGTCCATTAATTTCTGGCTATTGTAGCCGCCCAAAAACCTCCCAAAAGAATTGTCAGAAAATTGAGTTAAACAGCCTAAAATTGTTGTCGATATTGGAAAATTTTCCTATAGCGCATTACTTAATTGTAAGTTACTCATTATGAATATAATTACTACTAAATTTTAAATTCAATAATAAAGATTAAGAGATTGGATGTGTTTGTATTTAAAATTAAATTTTCATTAGTTCACCATTATTTGTATTAGTTTTCCCGCCTTTTCTTTTGTGAATTTTAGTATAAGATTGCAGATAGATTCTAAGATTTTAATTGATACCATTTTTAAAATATACTCAATTTTGTTTCATTTATTTGATTTATTTTCATTTTAGAACTCTTTTCAAGTTTTTTTTTTTTTTTACAAGTACATAGTTAATGATTTTAAATATCAATTTTGCTCATCATCTTTTTACAATCTTAATGAAATTATTGCAAAGATTTAATAGAATTACTTAGTCAAATTTGGTTTATTTTATGCTTTTCAATTTTAATCTACCCATATCTATTCTTTAACATTATTTATTCATCTTCAATTTAAAAATCAATGTATATATAAATAACTTAAAAATTTCAGTTAAGTCAATCACTTAAATGATCAAAGTTAGTTAATTTTTAGTTTTTACTAATCTATGAAATAAAAAGCAATGTTTATTTAAACTATGATAAAGAGTTTTATTATTATCTTAATTTTTCTTAATTTTTTTATTACCATTTTTATTAAGGTTAGTTAGATAATCAAAATATAGAGATATTAGTGGAAAATAATATAAAAAATTAAGTATAAAGGGAATTTAATACAATGTAAATAACAACACAAACAAACATAACAAACATATATTTTCATATGAGTGATAAAAATACATAAAATATGTTATATAAAATAATAACACAAGTACATGATAACTAGTGCATTAGGGCACCAAACAAATAATCACAAGTGAGTTGTCTCCCTTAAAGCACTAAGTTTATAGTCTTCAGCCAAATTAATAACACACTCAAACTAAATCTGAGTTACCTCCCACATAACGCTAAGTTTATAGTCTTCAGTTAGACTTGCCTAGATTTTTTAATTTGATCGAGGTACATTATTTCCATTCTTCAAAGGACTTCCACTAAGATCTTTTTCTTTTTCTTTTGGACTAACTTCATTATTGCTAAGTAAAGATTCAAGAGGTCTACTACTAATTAAAATTACAAGCTGGTTTAATTGCTTTTTCAAAATTTTAATAGAAGCAACTTGATATTGTAATAGGTATGCTAATTGTAGAATAATATTTCCAAGAGTACTTTCTCATTCATATCATGTAGAGTTATTCAAAATTTGAGGGATTACACTGCAATGCTACATGGTGCGGCACTACGACTTTAAGATTTTTAGAATTTTTGTTAAAATTATCAAATCCATCAGTCCTGATTTTTATTTTAAATTTATCCATTTTTTTAGAAATTGCTGCAACTTGTGCAGTCAAGATTGACAAATCATCAAATTTATAAATTTCTACTACTTTCTTAATATTTATAATATCAGCTGGCGACTGAAAATTATTAGTGAATAAAAAAAATAATGGCAATTTTATTTACTTTACATTAGACATTTATGAGTTACAATATTTTTAATCCAGTTACTCATAATTAAACATTGTCTTCATATATTTGGCTTTTGGTTTGGTTATCTTAGTATTATTTTAGAGTTAGGTCATTGAGATGTTGAGTGATGTGGGGGAATATTTGAGGGAATTTTGAAAATGTTGGATATGTTTTGAGGTTGAAGAAAGCTAGCTCCATATTATAATAAAGAGAGAATAATTATGTTGAGAAAAAGGAATAATAAAATTTAGAATATAAAACTAAATCTTCACTAAAGTACTAAGAGATTAATCACTAAATTTCACTTAAGATTAGACCAACTACCAAATCTTTCATATAAAATTCACACCAGCAAAAAAAAAATCAATGAATCAAAAATACAAAATAAAGTCCAATTTATTTTTTTTTCAAAATTATACAATTTTCAAATGTCTTAGAAGCTAATAAAATATTGTTACATTGATTGATGACTTATCCCGATATAAAAGAAAAATTAGAGAAATAAAATAAAATTTAAGATCAAGAACATCAAAAATTGGAATTAACCAAATAAGATAAGTTGCATGACCAATCTAGCATTAAAGGACCTTAAATTAAATTCTTTAATCATTCACCCATAATTGTGGAGATATTGTGTCATTCATAAATTTGAATAAAAAAATTATATATTGTTAAAATTTGATAAGGAGACTACATTTGTATTTTTTTTTCAATATTGTATTAATCCTCCCTGTATTTAAGAGTCCATCTGAGACAAATGTAATTTTTTATAAAGGTTGTTTGATATATAATCGAAAAATTATCTTGATTGGGCACAAATCTCGAAGCAAAATCAAGTTGGAAACTTCAAAAATTAAATCAAGGTCCATCTGAACTCCTATTTCAACAAACTTATAATAGAACTGAATGTCTCAGAAATACAAACCCAAAAACACAAAATTCGACTCAATCTGAGCCCAAATAAGTCCAAATCAAAGACCTAAAGCATATTTGGAATGTTCAAACCATAAGTTGGATTACCAAATGGTTTCCAAATGTGACATGCTGATAGTCGAATCGAGTGGTTCAACGAGACAAATCCAACGAGCCTAAGATTGTTAAATTTTGATATCATTAAGACATTCAAGTGCTCAGTAAATGGTCCATAATTAAGGGGAACTACATCGGTCGTCCATTTAAACTACTACCAATTTACCATTTATCTTTCTCATATTTACAGTTCATGCCACTCTTAAAAAACTATAAATAGACCCCTCATCCCTCATGGAATAGGGAGGGAGGAAGGGGCCTAAGTAAATAAGAGAAGGAAGAGAACCCTCTTTCCACCAGACTCCTCGACCATCGTTGGACTTCCACCTGGCCGTCAATTGACGTTGGACTTTTGCCCAGCCGCCGACTAACGCTAAACTTTCGCCCGACCACCAATTAATGTTGGATTTATACATGGCTGCTAACTTACGACATACGTCTCCTCGGCCACCGACATAGGACTTCTTCCTGGCTTCCAACTAACGCCAAACTTTCACCTGGCCACAAACTTTCATCGGACTTCTGCCTAACGCTAGACTTCTATCCATCACTGGACTTTCACTCTTCATTGGACTTTTGTCAGTCGCTGGACTTCCGTACATTGCTAGACATCCACCCGTCGCCAGATTTTCGCCCATCGCTAGACTTTCGTTGGACTTCTATTTGATGTTGGACTTCCGTCAATTATTGGACTTCTGTTTGACACTTGACTTTTGTCCATCGCCGGACTTCTAACCTTTGTCGCCAATCGATTACGATCTTTCCGACCTCTGTTGTTAAACAACAGTCTTTCTTACCAGCATTGACCATCGACTACAATCCTTATGACCTACATTACCAGACAACAATCTTTCTGACCACTGTCGCCAATTGACTATTGTCCCTCCGACCACCGTCACCAGACTACAATCTGCGATCTCCGTCGCCTGCCGATCATACAAACAAGTCAATAGTGCTTATTTCAATTCACATCATGCACTCTATATGATGTATATTTATTACATCAAGTTAAGGCCTCCGCAAAGAAGAGACTCATTTGTAATCAACTACAAGTAATAGTAGATTCATTCATGCTATGCATAGGCCCTATGGTTTTTCCCCATTTTATGAGATTTCCACGTAAATTGCTGGTGTCTCTTATGAATACTGCATCATCTATCTTTTATTTGATTGTGTGTTGGGTCTTCGTACAAAGCTAAGACGTTAAACTTTATATTTCTCTACGGCCATGAATATTCCATGACACAACATGGTTATTAAACTATGGTTGAAATAATAACTTTTTAAATGTTATTATAAAAAAATAATTTTCTAGCATGAAAATTTATTGAAAACAGCAAAAAATACTAACTCAATAAAAAATATAATTATAATTTGAAAATCAAATAGTAAAAAAAACCATCTTAAAAGTCTAAAACATTATTCTAAATTATTAAATTTTAGAACTTTATTAATTAAAAAAAAAAACTCCATCCACTCGCGCAAAACCTTTTACGTTGTCAAACCAAGCGCTGCACCTCATTTTATCTATCCTCCCTCCCTCCCTCCCTCGAGCTGTCTCGCGTTGTCGCCCCTGCTCCAGCTATAGCAACTGTAAATTGGGCGGGATCGATAAAAGGGGTTATTGGTTTTCTGTTCCCGCAGTCCGCGAGCTCACAGTCTCCCACTGCATTACCTAAAGTAGGTGTCCGAAGCCGTCCGGTTACCACGGACATACTCAGCTCCGTCGTCGAATTACTATGGCGACTCTAACCACGATTTCCCCTACGTCTTGCTCTTCTCTCTTTCCCTTCCGATCCCAACCCTCTCCATTTATCCACACTGCCGACCCTTCAATCGCTCCCAAATCTGGTCGACCACCCCAAACCCTCGCTTCTCCGCGTTATTCTCACTTCCGGCGGTTTTTAGCGGGGGCTCAGCCTGTGTTTCCCACATCTTCGGCTCTCGTATCCTCCTTGGACGACCTCTTTGAGTTCATTTGCACAGGGCCTCTTTTGCGGAGGATGGGATTTACGACAGAGAACGTGGCGGAGGGCATCGACAAATGGTTGCTCTGCGGGGGATATCTGTGTCGGCTGTTTGGATTGAACGAGCTCCAATTGACTGCGCCGGAGAAGGCCAGGGTTTACCACTTCTATGTTCCGGTTTTCCTCTGGTGCGAGAAGCAGATAGAGCGCCACGTGTTGGGGTTTGGAGATGCGGAGGAAGTCGCCCCTCTAGTGGTATGCAAAAAGTTCCTGACTTGGGATTGTTTTCGTTCACCTTGTTAGCTGCTTATTTTGAATGAAGTTTTGTGGCTTTAATTGTTTGGCTTACTGAAAAATGGGTCTGCATCCATGTATGCAATGAATGGTTTTGATTTTTGATCAACAACTGCCTGAGATACATTTGACCTCAATTTTTATAGTATCTTTAAAAAGACAAAGAGCGGGTAAATTTTTCTAGTATAGCCTGCAGTTTTAGGTCACTGGAGTTTGCACGAAGAGAGGCAGCTGGCATGATTGGCCTACGGATGGACCGGATATCACATTGCTGACACCATTCAATAGAGTGATCTTCCATCAAATATCAAGGCAAAAAGCCATAGGGTTCGATATGTTTGCACTTAAGTTACTTTAAATTTTAATTTTGTGTAGAAAAATTTAAATAGTGACAATCCTCCTTCGACTTTTTAATTTTTGCTGAGGGAAGATTATCATAACATCTCTTGACATGTCTGTAATATTTTTTGCTCATTTTGATATAGAAATGCAACATGCATGTTTCAAGTAGTGTTGAATTAAACTTGTCCATTGGGGACATGTGACCCTACTACCTAGCTAGAGCAAGAAAATCAATTGAGGAAATTAGTCTGCCTAAAGAGTAAGAAAGAGGCTAACAGATCTCCATGAATAATGAAAATAGTATAAAAAATGGCATGAAGCATCATTAAGTCCAAATTATTCTTCTTAACCATTTATTTAAAGGGTTAAGAGGGCTTGAAGAAAGACTAAATATAGAAAAAAATTGTGAAAGATGTGTACAAACTGACACAAATATATGGACTAAGTTGATTGGGATAAACATGGCCCTCTACCTCTTACTAGGTCCTTTATTGAGTATCTTTGGTGAGTCCTTTCAGGCAAACGTCTTGGGAAAGCCTTCGAGAACTTATGGTTAGTGTAAGTTTATGGAGGTGAGTTTCTAGGGCCTAGTAGTGAGTTCCTAGGAGTAAATATCGAGTACCTAGGAAAAAGTGATTGAGACCCAAGGATGAACACGGCCGATGAAATCACAATCATAGACTCTTGTAAGTGTGTGCTTCCTGTAGCTCCTATTGGGCCATCCACGGAAGACAAATTGTCTTAGTTGAGGGCAACTGCTATGGGGGAGGAAGCTTTCTTGGATTGAGTTCCCCATAAGATTAAAGCCTATTTGGGTGAGCCTTCATAATGAACTTGTTGAGAATGAATGCATTTTTAATCCATCTCTCTTGGTGCTAGCTTGTATGTTGCAATCTTTGCTGAGGCAAGTTCCTATTTGCTAATGGATTGATGCTGGCGATTGACTCTCTAGGTGAGGTCTCTTTCGAGTAAGCGTTGCTATGAGTGCATGCCCTCTCTGGTTGAGCCTCTTGATAGGAACTTGTATAGATACCCGCAATTTATCTGCATTGACATATTTGTATTTACATTATTTCGTATAGACCTTAGATTTATTTATTTGATTGTGTTTATTTGTGTGGGACGTACTTATTTTGCAATTGAATATTTTGAGAGCCTAGTTAGGTGAGATGATTATGAAGATAAGATGAACACAATAAGTTTTAAAAAAAGAGAAGAAGGTTGGGGTGAGATCTATCTCTGGTCTTTGGAAAACATGTATAAAGGGCATGTTTCATTTGATTTTATTTATATATTAGTATTAATAAGATGTTATTTTAGGTATAAAATTCTAAATATTTAATTTGGTATGATTTCATTAAATATGTTTGTCATAAGTTTATTCAAATTTGGTTTGATATTATCTTTGGAGTGCAACACTGGGGACAAATAAATGTGCCACTAATTCCCTTTATATTTCTTTAATCAATTTTGTATAGCCAAACATTATAATATCTTGAAAGATAGACTAATGCTTTCATCTTAATTGAAAAGAGAAATAAAGGTCTTTCATAATCAATCACAATATAGGAAATGCTAAATTCATTTCAAAAGATAAAAGAAACACACCATTACCTAGGTATAAAACTATGTTTGTGTCTATAAGATTTTTTTAGCTCATATAGATAACTAAAATAGGGTTTATTTTATTGTTGTTTTCTAGACTCCATATAGAGGAAAGCCTCTATAGTTAAATTAAATCGCAAATGAAGTCTTGATAAAAGTCTTGATTAAAGTGGAGAATAGACTTTTTAAATTAAAAAAACTTAACCAAAGTTTAATTTTTTTTTTTACTAAAAGGTATGCATAAAACCTAATTGATTTACTGAAGGATTTATTGATTTAAGAAAATATTTAGATTTAAATTTGAGTTTGATTTTAGAATTTATTTAGATTTGGGAGAAATACTAAAAAGTAAATACTGCCACTAACTCAATAAATGCAAGTGCATCATACTGAAAAGTAAGGTGGACTGCAAGTAAAATAAATTTGTAGTGTATCTATTAATGTAATGAATATATATATGACATCCAGAGTACGTAAAGTAAACACACAAGCTATGCAAATACCCTTCAACCATGGCATCTTATACAATAAACCAAAAGAAATCATTGGCTTAGCCTAGCCTATAATTGGTTGTCCAAATAAATCATTTAAAGTGTGTATAAAAGTTGTGTGGTTCGGATATGCCCTAAGCATTTTTTATTTAAATTATTTAAAATTTACTTTCATTTGTTTAAGGTTAAGGAGATTTGATTTAAATTTAAGTTTTAATAATTTAAAACTTTATATTTTATTAAAATGTTTTAAATATTCAAGTTGTTTAACTTTAAATTTTAAAGAACATAATGCTTAACAACCTCTGAGTGCTAGAACAGTAGAACTCATTGATCAACAAATCTTAGGCTCATAAGCATAATGCATTTATTCCCCTCCAAAAAGATAGCAATTGCATAGAGTTATTTCATTTTATCAACATTTAATTTAATAGTTTATTTTTTTTAAAAAAAACCTTGTTAATTAATAATTTCAAATAAGCTTTAAAGTTATCAATTAATAAAATCTTAGGCTTTCTAAATCAAATGCATTTGCTCTCTCTTAAGAGAGAAAGCAAATAGATAAAGCCTTGTTTTATTATTTTTATTTTTATGTCATTCATTTTATTTGATTCATTTAATTCAATCTATTTGTTTAAGCTGAATTTAATTTGTTATTTGAATTTTACTCCATTTAAATCAATTTAATTTCATTTATCATTTTCTTATTTTTATTTATTTTATTTATATATATTTTTTATTTCTTTTACTGATTGAATTTGGAATTATTTAATTGATTATTTATTTAATTATTTTATTAATTTATTTATTGAATTTTTTTTAATTTTTAATTAACTTTTAGTTTTTTAAATTTTATGAAAAAGCCTTTATTTTTATTTTAATGTTTAATGAATTTAAAGTTGAATGCAATTTATTTTATAGATTTTTTTATTTCTTTAATATTTTTAATGATTTATTAAAATCCTAAACAATTATATAAAGGAATTTAGAGTTTACTATTTGACAGACCAAATGAGTTCTAAATCACTTGAAATTTAAACCCTAAGTGAATTAAGATTTAATGACTAAACCCAAAAAATTTAATCAGCAAAGTCCTTGAGTTTGTAATTAATTTCTTAATTAAATATATTTATTCTTTTGAAATTAAATTTTAGGCCAACTAGATCTTGGATTGTGTTCAAATCTATGGTAATCTAACCCTTGGACACTAATTTAACACACCATAGCAAATCAAATCCTAATGCTTTATGGATTTGCATCTAGGACAATTTGAATGTATAGGTCAATTTGAATGACCTAATTGAAGCCTTAAAAGATTCCAAACAAAGATGAATAATTTCTAACATGTCATAAACATCCATGATTAACCTATATAAATTTGGGGTCAAGATGATTTAAGTTTAATTAATAATCTCAAAAAAAGTCTAAAGAGTATTTTTGAAATTATTTTTAATCCATTAGAAATTTAGTTTCAAACCTTAAGGCTTTTATTCTACTCAAGAGAAATCCATAAAGCTTATTTATGCCTAATTCAAATAAGTGTGTGATAAGTTGTGATTTTTCTAAGAACAGATGAATTTCTATGAATTTATTTAGCCATTTACATAGTCAGCCAGCTGATTGTGCCGAGCTTTCTACACGGCACCATTTAATTGGCTTAGCAATCATTAGAGGGACCCAAGGATAACACACTTTAGTTTACAACCACCCGATTTGAGATCGAATGGTTCTAGTTTAAAGACTCAAAACCATTGGAGCACCAAACAGAGCGTGATCCGACTTAATTAGAGCTATTGATTGAAACCAACCACTCTGATTTCATCTCCAACCTCTCGCAAGGTTTCTCAACCATAAATGATTTTTTAACATGATCTAGGTGATCAGCTCTATGGATTTTGTTCAAATTAATTAGAGAGCATCACTTCTCATGAACCTTCAATTCAACAGTTGGATACCCTTGGATTGAATGTTTTTTCACACTTGAGCGACACATAGGGATGAAGAGCTAGAGTTTAGATCCTACCTCAATACAGTGGTGAATTATGTTAGATCTTTATTGGATTGAATTCATCTAACCCCAAGGAGCACTTTTCCTTCAGGTTGGGTAGTCTAAAACTCATTGGAATAGGATTTGAGTTTTGGTCAAGACGGGATCATTGAAGCTCGCTCAAACTTGTCAGAGATGATCACTAGATAGGATCGAGAGCTGCAGAATGAATACTATGAGGCTAGGGAGTGTTTTGGAAGCAACTGCCATAACCATGTAATAGAGAAAAATGGGAGTATTTATAGTCTTCTTGTCCGAATCAAACTTCCCTCTAGGTCTGGCCATGTCAAGCCGCAAAAGCAATTAGGAACAGGCCAATAGGCTCAGGAGAACTCACCAAAGAAGTTATAGCCCATGTGGTTGGTTATTGAGGGAGCTAAAGTTGAACTAAGCCATGTGCATGGCTGTTTCTTGATTTTTCGGCCACCACCTCACCTGAGATGATTGACATAGGTGTCTGAAACATTACAGAAGGAAATGCAATGGTTAATTTGCCATGGTTTAGTCTGAATTTGTAAATAGCTTAGGGATTTGTATTTTTTAAGGTTTGGATAAGCTAGACTGGCTAGTTTTAGTGCATAGGGTCCATGGGCCTAATGCATGATCTTAATTGGCATGGTTTGACTTGAATTGAGAAATAGCTTAATGGACATCTCTCTCGACCATTTTGGTTAGCCCAATTGGCTAGTTCAAGTGGGCCTAAGGGCTAGGTCTCCTAGGGTTGACCCTTGGGGACCCAATGGACACTCACCCAAATGGTTAGGATGCCTTGGTTTAGTTTAGATCATTGGAATTCAAATTTAGGAGGTTTAGGGTTGGTTCATTTAATATAGTTTTACTTGGTCAACCAGGCTTGACCAGGCCTTGGGATTGGCACCAATCCACTCCAAATATGATTTTGGATTTGTTGGAAGTTTCAACAAAGTTCAATTTAGAGTTATAGGGTTTAATAGTTTCTTGGTCAACCCTGGTCAATTATGGTCCACCAAGGGTTCAGTTGGGTTTAAGCATGTATGATTTTATGTTTGGAGAAGTTTGAATGCTTTTTTGGAGTTTAGGTGAGCTTCTGTATTGAGATTTAAGGTTTAGGGTTCAAAGAGACCTTTAATGGTCAAAATGACCAATGATGGTTAACCTAGGCTCTTAAAGATCTCAAGTGGATCTATGCATGATCATGAATGATTGTCAAATGCCTAAGGACCAAATCTAAGTCTTGAATTGAATGATTCAATATGATTCATTCATATGAATGGTTTATGTTTAAAAGAATCCATGGGTCAAACTAGGTCAACTATGGTCATCCTTAGTCTACCATGAACTCAAAGGAGTCCAAATCATTGTAATGATAATTATGAATAAGTTTACTAATGCTTTCGAGGGAGTTTACACCAAGATGCTATATTCAATGGCATGGGTTGTAAATATTTGAAAGTTTGGCCCTATGGAATATGCTTTGAGTTTGAAGGTTTAGAAGGATATGAATGCCTACAAAATAAATAGATAGACTTTAGGGATATGTCTAATCAACATATGAATGATTCATCAAATGCACTTTTAGAGATTTTATCTAGGGTTTTGATCTAATTGAAAATTTCCCTGAGAAAGGGAATGTCCAAAGGGGTTTAGGGTTTAGATTTGAATTGGATTTTACATGCTGAGCTTTACAGTGGATTTTGATTGAATGATTGAAAGTGATTGAAGATTTAGGTTTATTGATGAATTTAGAAGGGTTTCAATCTGAATTTTAAGTTTGATTGACAACAAATCACTGAATGATTGAAAGATGATGAACAATTCAGTCTTTACTAATTTAGTAATTGACATTTTATGATTGAACTCGACCAATTGAATGAAGTTTATTGCTTAAATAGGGATAATTGCAAGGAATTAACCTCGTATAAAAATAAGATCAAGAAGCAAATGTTAAGATGACCTTCTTAAGAGGGTTGGGGCCTAAGTAGTATCCCATCTACTTGATGATAAGCATTTTCTATGAAAATTTTCACCAATCTCATATGGGATTAAATCCTATATTTTTACATATTTTAATCAATCTCCTTCATATGGTAACTCTCTACATCAACCATCTCTGTCACTTAAACAATAGTTTTTTAACAGTAATAACAATCAAAAGCACCAAGAGGCTATTTAACTTGTATGAAAATCATCCGCTTATGAACCTTATTTGACTGTAAAAGAACCTGTCAAGACCCATGGGAGAGTTGCTCAATCCCAACTAAACTTTTGGTTTTTGTATCGCTTGTTAGACAGTGTAGATCAATATGGTATCAAATTGGGCTTGATACACTAATGACTAGATTCATCTCCAAGTTCCAACATAAAAACTTAATCGAGTGGGTGTAGGCCAACCACTAGTTTTTTTTTTTCGACTGATGTATGCTTTACCAATCTAATATGGGACTAAATCAATACTCTTATGCTCCGTAATAAGTTTAATTTTGACTCATCCAATTATCATAAAGAATGGTGAGCAAATCAATTATATTTGATTTTATTGCCATGCAATTAAATTTTGGCTTTTATATTCGCCTGCTGTAGTTAAAGTAAGAGCTATTATGGAAATACCAACAAGATAGAATCGTTAAAACACTTCAGTACAGGAGAAAGAAATAAAAATACAAGGGAAGTTAAAGAGTGATGCGAGACCCTCAAATATGTTTAGATTTAAATTGTTTTCATGTCAGTTACTTGAATGGCAGTTGTTTTGGCACCTGTTTTAAATTTGCAAATTTATATAATAATACTTGATTCCTTGCATTCAATGAATGACTCTCTTCTTCATGCTAAGATGTTATGAGATACTCCAGATAGAAATCAGACATTTTAATAATAAGGTAACTGTTGAAGTACCTTTCATTTGCTGAACAATTATTTTTTGGCGTATAGATGACCTAAAGTTGGATGTGAAATATGGGAATCAGGCATTAGTTTTATGATTTAAAAAGATACTATCTTGAGTGCTGCACAAGCAATTGATTTGACACTTAAATATGGATCTATTTAGGGAATACAATTTTTTTCAAAGATTAATACTTGACTTGTTTAGATAGGATGACCCAATGCTCATCGAGAGGCTAATGAAAAAGAATCAAGTTTGACCAAGAATAACATGTAGCACTTCTTCTATGTTGGTAAAGGATATTGGTGATTAGATCAAACATGGAAGATAATAGTGATTGACAAGAGTGATGGATGAAATGGTAAATATACTAAAACACTAATACTACAACAACACCAACAACAACAAGTCTTTATCCCACTATGTGGGGTCGGCTACATGAATCTTTTTTCTCCATTGTGTCCTTTTAAGAGTCAATTTTTCATCTAAATCTAATAAGCAATAGTCATTTCTAATATTTTCTTAACACATTTTTTTTTAGGTCTATCTCTACCTTTCTTAACATAAGTCAAATATAATACATCTACTTTCCTAACTGGGTTATCGGAAGGCCTCGCTTTTATGTGACCAAATCATCTAAGGTGACTCTCTCTAATCTTATCTTTCGCTGGAGCTACTCCAACCTTTTCACGTATATTCTCATTTTGTATCTTGTTTTTAAGAGTAAAGCCACTCATCCACCTGAGTATCCTCATCTCTGCAACACTCTCTTTTAATGGCCAACATTCTACACATTAAAGCATTGCAGGTCTTACTACCATCTTATAGAATTTTCCCATAAGTTTGAGAGGGACTTTTCTATCACACAACAAACATGATCAGGCAGCAAGAGGCATTATTTATAATGCTTGGAAAAAGAAAGATTATGGGGAAGCGGTTGATGTCCTAAAAAGGAAGATTAAAAGATCCCTAAAACATCTTTACTTTTGGAGCAAAAATAAACTGAAAGAACGCAACATTAAGAAATAAGAACTTCAAAATGATATTTTGTATATGCAAGAAGAAGAGGCGAAGGAGGGTGGTTTAAATTCGGAAAATCTGCTTAAGCTCAGACTGAAAGTGCAAGAGCTCAATACCACACTGGCAAGGATGGCAACATGGTGTAGACAAAGGTCAAAAATACAATGGATGGAAGAAGGTAAAAAAAATTCTCGTTTTTTCCACACCTATGCAACAGCTAGAAGAAACAGAAACTTGATTAATCAAATTGTGGATGCAGAAGACTCTATGGAAACTGATCCAGAAATTATTCACAAGATTTTTGAAAATTATTTCATGAATAAATGGAGGAAACGTAAATGTGAACTCTCTAATTGGCCTTAGTATGAAAAATTGCATAAATGAGGAGATGAAAGAGCTGTTGAATTCAGATTACACAAAGGTAGAATTATACACAACTATCATGAAAATGAGCAACAATAAATCACCAAGTATGGATGGGGCAAATGCTTGTTTTTTCAAACCTTATTGGAACATAGTGGGGGAAGATACCTGGAATGCAATTAATGAGTTCTTTTTAACGGGAGTAATGCCAACTGATTGGAAAAAAACGGCTCTAGTGCTGATACCTAAAGTCCCAAATGCTTCAGAATGTTCAAAATTCAGGTCAATTTATTTATCACAAACCACTTACAAAATGGCTGCAGGTATGATTTTAA